TGCATTTTTTATATCAATTTAAGGATGATTTTTTAAAATATCATTTCAACTTTTAATAAAGAAAATTACGTATTAAGTAAATTTGTCATTATACATTACTAATATGAAAACACATAAAAAAAATGATGCTAGAAAAAAAAAAAAAAAAGTAAAATAGTGGTTACGTATCCTTACTAATAAATGAAGGTTTTTTTTTTGCCACTTGTCATATTCTCCTTCATTTTAACACATATCATTTTTCTAAGATTTTTAAAATTATTATTTTCCACTTGTCATTTTTTGAGGATTTCACATTTCTTAAAATAAAATTTTAATAAATTCTAATGGGTTATATATATGTAAAATTATCATTGTATTAATTTGATAATATATTCTCATAAATGCTCCAAACAATTTGATTTTTTTTCATAAATGCTCCAAAAGATTACATTTTGTATAGAAAAGCATTATTTTATAAAATATTTAATGTTTATATATTTTAATATTAAAATTTTACTTTTAATAAACCCGTATAATATACGGGTCTCACACCTAGTAATAAAAATAAAAGAAAAACATATTAAAATTCCCACATACAAATAACATATTTTCAACAAATCTTAGCATATCCAAAAAAAACATCTATTTTAACTTAAAATGCCTATATCAACAACTAATTAAAAAATAAACATATTTTAACTTCAAAATATCAATATAATACATTCCAATTTACCAACACACATTTTTAACCAACTATAACTTAATCACTAACCATTAACAATCTATAATTTAAAAAGTCCATAATAAATAATTATAACAATTAAAATATCTTTAGACGTGGAAAGTGGCATATTCAATTTCTGAATATGAAACTTTTTCATTACTGCTTCCGATTAGCGATCATCTACTTTATAATTCCACTTCCAGGTTAATTATAAAATATGAAGAAATGTTGGACATTTCTTATGTACATGAGAATGTTTTTTTCGAGTTGATGATGCGTATTTGCATTGGCAATGAAGTTTGTAAGTAAGTCATGAGATTAATGCAATAAACAAATTTTGTTTTATAGAGGAAACTAATTTAACATGCATATAATATTTGATTTTTTAATTTTTTTTTTTGGTTTTATGACTTTGCATACTAGATATTTTTAAGTCTTTTTTGTAATATGTTCGGAGTCTATAACGATATCAATTTATTGATATTACTGCAAATTCTAAACAATTTTGTTTTATTTTTGTTGTCGTAATAAAAATAGGATGTAATATAAAAAATTGGAATGGAATGTTATACTCAAAAGAAGTTGGATGTTTTCGCAATCGGATAGATACTGTAATATTATAATTTAAGTGAACTCTAATGGAATATATTTTTTTTATCGACCAATCCGTCAAAGAAATTAATTTAAATAGTAATGTCCAGACGATGACGACATGATGGTGACAACGACAACGATGATGACGTGCAAAACTACATATGTTTATTGAGTAATATAAAATTTATTTATATGGGAACAAATTACAGAATAATGATATTGAATAAAGTAAAATCAATATTTTTTTATTATATCGGTCCACCATCCACCAGACGGGTATAATACTAGTTATTGTTTGTGTCCGACTTGTGGTGATTTTCAACTTAAATGGTTTTATATCCAACCAATCACTCACGGTTTAAACCTAAATGGTTTTATATTCAATAACAATTTTTTTTAGCTGTTAAGTCATATTGAGATTTTGTCTTTTTCTTCTTCTAAACGGAATCTTCTCTTAGAGAGGTGGGTGTGGACAACGCCCACACGAGTTACTTGGCTAAAAAACAAAAAAACACTGTTACCAAATGTGATGGTGATAACGAGAAGTAACGCGAAAACCTTTAACATGTAATAACGGAAGGGAGGGGTGGTGTTCATTGGCGTTATCACGTGTTATGAGACACAATAATGGGAGTGGGCAACATCTGTTTGTTCTACGCTAATCATTCATTGTTTTATTTTTGTTACATAAAAACTGAAATAATGAAATTAATAACCTATAATTATGCGATCAATAATGGTTTTATTTAAATAGTATTATTGATGTTTTATAAGTCTCGCTTTGTCAAACACATAACAAGATTGTCAACTCACCCACACTTACATCTGTTTGATTATATAAACAAACAAAATGATTTGCTAATAATATAATTATATTAACAATAAACTATCAGATAATATTATATTTTAAATAAATAGGTAACTTATAATAATTAATAATTTGTAACACGCGAACAAGGTAAAGAAAAATCTGGCACCTCAGCCCTCAATGTAATCTATTTTATACGAATTCACAATTGAAATAGAAAAAATGGCGTAGTGATCATATGGTTATTAATTATCACTATCCAAACACGTGACTTTTAAAAAAAAATTAATAGATCCAGCAAATATGAACCAAATGGCTCCTAGTTTAACAGTATTATTAGGTGTTATTTTTGTTGAAGTTGAATGTTCAAGTTTTGTTCGAAATATAATTGAAATGATGAGAATATTAAATTTGTGTTTAGTCGTTAAAAAAAATACAATATATGAAAGGAAATGAGCATTTGAAAGAAAACCATCATGCTAAAAATAATAGAACAAATAAAGATTCATCAAGACATGTTATTATGAAGATATAACTTAGTGTAACGAACAATCAAGATTATTTCGAGAGGCTCTATTATTACGTTATTAGTTTGTCATTTTGTATTCTTCTCTTTTTATTTTTACAGGGTCACCTCAAGTAAAAAACAAGACATCTCACTTTATCTCTTGACACATAATAAATATCTTATAAGGACATCTACTTTTTACAATGTTTTTTTTAATCTACTAAGCTCTTGAAAATGATTGGCTTCTATTGTGAGTTTTTTCATAATGATTTGTGTTGTTATAATCTAAAGATAGATATATTAATTATTAAAAACAAGACAAAATTATATAAAAACAAAAACTAGTGGGTCCTATAAATAAGTTAGAAAGAACTTTCATGTGGTGATATGTTGGAACTTTTTCATTTCAAGGTTTTTCGTAAATAAAGAACTCTTCTAATTATGGATGCTATGAATTAAGCAATTTATTTTGTTGGCATACTTGTGGGCAAAACGTCGATCTTTGGTTGTCCTAATTGTTGGCAAAACTCCTCATTTTACAGGAATAAAAACTCTTTTTATTATGGATGTTATAAAATACGGAAAATAACTACTAGCTGGTAGAGTAATATAACTTTCAGTTTGTATATATTTAATCATTTATGTTATATATATATATATATATATATATATATATATATATATATATATATATATATAGTTTTTATGATTGATTTCTTCAGATTTGTTCATGATATCCTACATGAGACAATCATTAATAAGATATTATCACATGTGACTTATCTCTCATTTATATTAGTAATCTGATTCACAAATCGGTCATATGATATTGCTGCCTTAGTTTTCTCCAAGCAAAAAATGTCTATGACTTCAATTTCATCTATCTCCATAGCAGACAACAAGATTATTTGTGATTGCTTCCTCCCAATTCGAATTTGCATTTCAAAGACAAAAGAACACACTGACAAAAAGTTTAGAGTCTCCCAAATTCATACATGGTTCACATATGAATTAGGGGAGACTTTAAACTTTTTGCTATGATGATTATTGTCTTAGAAGTACAAATTCAAGTTGGAAAGAATCAATCACAAGTAATCTCGTTGTCTACTATGAAGATAGATGAAATCGAAGCCTAAGACATTTTTTGCTTGGAGAAAACTATGGTACAAACATTATTTGACCGATTCGTGAATTGGTTACTGATATAAGCGATGGACGAGCTATTATTGGGAACACATCATTAATGATTATCCCACGTAGCTTGTCGCAAGCAATTAGCAAAATCTGAAGAAACTTGTCATAAAGACTGAAAGTGCACAAAAATATTAAGAATTAAATTGTAAAAAACGGAAATGTATATTACTCTATCTCTATCAAGTTGTTTTTACCAGCTTAACTTAAAGTAGCCGGTAATAAATTTAAATGTGTACAAAGAACAAGTTAAATGGTCAAATAATAACAAAAAAATTACTAACTAAATTAGTACAAAATAAAAAATACAATACCTTATTAAATCATTTTTCCTATAAATTAAACAATTTATTTTATTGAAATAATTGAAAACCTTTTTTTTTTTTTCTGTGATTCAGTTATATATAGTCCATCATATTATTTAAGACTATCTCCAATTGTTGACCTATATGATGTAAATAAAAAAATTATAAAATATTTAAAATAGAATTTTAGGTAAAATTATATTTTGATAGCATATGAAGGTATATATGATTTTTTAAAATTAAACTTTGACAAATATGATATTATCATTCTTATAGAGTATCCATAATACATAGTTTAATGAGATAATTGAATAAGATTAACACCTAATTAGCATTCAATTAATTAAATTCTAGTATCTCAGATATGATGTTGGTTTTTGAATTTCAATGGATACAAAGTTAAATAGTATTTGAACTCTTTGATTAAAAAAAAAATTAATATTTAAATATATGTTTCACTATACTTTATTGAGTTATTTTTTTTAATAGAATTACATCAAGAATAGAATGATAATGTTAATTGTTAAATTTCAAAAAATTCAATCAATTATGATTTTCCTACGAGGATATATGAAATTTTATACTTTTTTTAATCTTGGCATCAAGAATAGAATGATAATGTTAATTGTTAAATTTCAAAAAATTCAATCAATTATGATTTTCCTACGAGGATATATGAAATTTTATACTTTTTTTAATCTTGGAAATATATATATATATATATATATATATATATATATATATTGGCTTTAGTCATTTATTAAAGTACAAATTCAAAATTTTAAGGATTAAATTTTGTAAATCCTTAATTTTAAGTGCAATTTGCATCAAAAGAACTAAAAGAAAAACAAAAAGCATCTAAAAGGAGAAGAAAAAGAATAAAGCGAAGACATCCATACCAATCATCATCCTCTCTCCTTCTTCTTTTTCTTCGCAGTTCACAGACCTCACGCTTCAAAGTTCACACACACCCTCTCTGCTGTCTTTCCCCATCATGTAAATTTTTTATATTTCCCATGGAAATCATGCCTTCCCCCGTGACCGATTTAAGCTCTGTAACACTCCAGATCTCCAGAAGAATATAGAAATCATTCTACCACCTCTCACTTTTCTTCATATCTATTCCGGTTGTAGTGGCATCGCCGCCGGCTGCCGTGAAACAGTACGATGACCAGGAACTGTGGTGTTGAGAGCCCGTCTCCACGACCGCGGATCCACCAGACTCATCCACACGATACCCCTCACTTCCACTCCACTCTCTCCGAACGCAAGCTCCGCCGTTTCAATACCTTGATTTTCGTCTTCCGTTTAGCCGCCTTTTCTTCTGCGCTCTCCGCCGCCGTATTCATGCTCGCCACCAAGTCCGCCTCCCCTCACTGGAACGACTTCGGAGCCTTCCGGTAAACTTCCTGTGATCCCTCTTTCAATTCAACCGATTAAATTTCATTGATTTATGGCGAAATTGGAATATTAAATATAATCGTAACAAAAAATCCACAGATTCGTTGTAGCAGCAAATGCAATAGTCGCTTTATATTCATTATTCGAAATGATTGCTTCTGCTTGGGAGATTTCTCGAGGTTCTACCATTTTCCCCGAATTCTGCCAAGTCTGGTTCGACTTCAGCCATGATCAGGTTCTCATCAATAATTATTAACGGATTATTTCCATTGTTTCATGTAACTTTTTCTGAAAAATTCATAAATTTTCACCTCGAAACATTCGAAATTTTCACAGCACACTAATGGCGCTAATTTTCTTGTGAGATTTATTTTCAAAAGAATGTTTGTATCTGCAAACACACACATACATCCGGACATACAGAGACAATGATAGTAGTGAGTTAACAAAAACGACATCGTTTTTGTAGGTTTTTGCGTACATGTTGCTGTCGGCGGATGCGGCGGGGACGGAAATGGCGAGACAGCTGAGGAGGGTTGCCACGTGTACGGCCAACAACGCGTTTTGCATCCAATCGGACATCGCCGTGGGGTTGGGATTCGCCGCATTTTTGTTTCTGATGATCTCGTCGTTGCTATCGGGATTTAGAGTCGCCTGTTTCGTGATCAAAGGCTCTAGATTTCATCTCTAGGGTTGTTTCAGGTTAAGAGAGACACACCTGATTATTGAGCGGGTAAAATTACAGTGTGAAGAGGATTGATTTTGTACGGTGTGCCCTGTTTGTCTCATTCAATGGGTTTGTGCCACGTGGCGGAGTGTACGATTTTCCCGTACTATTTGAGTATTGAGAGCGCTAGACCAAAATGATGTGTTTCTCCATCCTCTTTTCTTCAACTCATTTCAAACATAAAATAGTAAAAACGCGCTTTGATTCGAATATAATATCCCTATAATATATATACTTTTTAAATTAATCTTAGCTTATCTAAAAAAATTAAAAAAAAATTAGCCTACTCTTCTAAATATTTATTAAAAAAGATAAAAACTTAAAAATAACTCAAACATCCATTAAAATCGCAGCTTATTTTACTAGTCTGCGATTTCAACCCGTGGGTAGCAATTTCGTCGTGGGACGACCCCATGAGCTAAAATATTAAAGCTTGAAAAAAAAATATCTTCTTTTTTACGTTTATAGTCAAACAAAAAATCTTCTACCCTAGTTTATGTAAAGGTAGCTGATGAGCTAATCATATTTGTTATTTCCTCTAACTTTTAAATAAGGATGTACAAAAAAAGAATGCATTACTTGTTCGAATACTTATCTATAATTATCTAACTAAAAATTTAGATGAATATGATAAAAGCTACAATTTAAGTGTTTTTGACTGTCATCGAATGTTTTTTGCTTAACTCTCAATTGAAAATGTATAAATAATGATAAATTTGTTTTTTTTTTTTTTTTTAACCTCGAATACTATGCACTCATGGGATCGGCCCGTGATAAAATCACAGCCCAAAAAGAGTCATATGTGATTTCAGTGTTACTTGAGTAGCAAATAATTAGAAGAGTAGGGTAATTTTTTTTATCTCATATTTTAATTTCAGAAACGATTAATAGAAAATGATCATAAAATTTATTATTGAAATACTAGTTTAATTATTTAAACAACACATTCAGAATTTCAGATATTATTAACATTTGAATATTTGGTGAATGTAAATTGTTGGATTTGACTTGTTAACTAATTTTTAAATTTTACTCGTTTGATTCTTCAATTATAAAATATAAATGGCGTAAAATTTTCTCCGTATGTGAGAAACATGAGTAAAATCAATTAAGTCATGCTTAAACATTTGATACATCTAATTTAATAATTAGTTACAGACAAACAATGTGTAAGGGAACTCGTAATCGTAGACAACGTATTATATGACCTAGATAAGCAAAACAATCAAGAAAACCCAAATGTGGAAATGACTCTTTAAACATTTTAAAGTAGAGAATAGTGAAATGATGATTGTGAGCTATACATAAACTATCGATATAAACATCACATTATATATGCCACAGGAAATGGGCTAATTGTAATTTTAGTCCCTAGACATTTTAATTTGCATTAATTTTAATTTTGGTTGTGTTTCATTAATATATTTACAGTTTTCGACTCTGTAGTTCTTAATTTGTATTAACTACATTTTTAGTTCTATATTTTTAAATTTCAGTTTTTATAGTTTTGGTCCCTATAGTTCTGATTTGCATTAGTTAATAATTACCATTTTAGTCCATGTAGTTAGGGTGTAATTAGTCGAGTGCTGCCAGGCTCGAAACTCGATTTGACTAAAAAATTTGGGCTTAAAACTCAATTTGACCTCGATTCGAGCCTTGATTTCAAACTCGGGCTCGAGCTCAATAAATTAATCAACATTTTCGAGTTCAAGTCGACATATTATTAACAGGATAAAGTTACATTAAACTGGAATAGATGTACGACTAAACTTGTGAGTTTTATTTGACTCGCCGCTTGATCATGTAAATATTAATAAAATTAAGGGTAAAAGTATAAAGATAACTATACTCTATGAAGCTTGTGAGCTTCACGAGCAGATTGTTTCAATTCTAGAGCTCGACTCGATAATATACTCGAGTAGCTTGAGCTTGATTTCAACTTGACTTGAACCGAATCGATTTCGTGTGTTTTTCGAATTGGTGTCAAGTATCTGACACTAGTTCGATTCAGTTACACCCTTACATGTAGTACATAAATGGCCATATATACAATAACTTTATTACATAAATGGTTCATGTTTAATGACGATGTTATAGAAATGATCCTTATTTAAAAGAAATTATAGAAATTGATCTTGAATAAATGATGTTGAAAATATATGATTAATAAACTCGCTGCAACACGTAAATATCCTACTAGTATATTTTAAACTTTTGGAACACGTTTTAAATATATAGATGTCACATATATTTTAAATTTATGAAAAAACGTTTAAAGTATTAGATACATGTTTTACATGCATTGAGATATCACATATGACACTTAGGAGGAACCATAATTCAAATTAAATGAATTACTTAGTAATCTAAACTCAATTAGAGAAGGAAGAATTGAAAAGAAAAGAAAAACGGAATTTGTTGTATACACAGAAAAAATCTTAACCCTTCAACATTGACCATACAGCTGTATATTAAAAAAAGTAAGGAACTATAGGTACAAACCAAACCCATCATAACTTATATCTAGCTCCTCCACGATTTTTGATGAATATTACCTAGATTCCTAGACTTGATAAATATAGATAGCAACCTTTGTATTATTTTAAAATTAATTGATTGGGTCCTATGCAGGACCTTACACTATGTCAGATATATTAATGGGTTGTTTTGGTACTTGTATAATCTGCTATCGTTGAATTAAGAAAATGGACCAACGAATGATATGATACGATTTGAAAAAGAAAAGATGTTCAAGATAAAAATGATCCATACCATCCATCCGTAAAAATTACAAGGACATTACACATGCTTTTATGTTTTGATATTGTCTTTATTAACATATTGTAAATTCAAATTATTACTTTAGTTAAAAAATATTCTAGTGCACTCAAAATTTTGTACTGATAAGCTTAAAATTATATAGTCAATGGATTATATGCAAACAACATACATTACATAATATGCTCAAAAGTAAATGTAATACAGATACAATTTAACAAATAGTCCGTAAATAATTGTTTATGCTTCCAATTGTTAAGTCTATCCTAGTTGTTAATAATTTTGAGTAAATTACACGAATGGTCCTTATTGTTTTAGGTAATTTATATGTTTGATATTTAATTTATTTTTTTAACTTGAAAGATTCCTATTGTTTGTTTTTGTTACGCGTTTGGTCCTTGTATCGCCTAAAAAAACTATTTTGTCATTGATTTTTAATATATTTAAATAAACAGACCTCCAACTCCACCATCTCACCTTACCTTGTCTATCTCATTATTTTTCTCTATTTAAATAATATATTTTTTTAGGTAAAACATGACCAAGCGCATAACAAAAACAAACTGAACCAGGGACGAAACACATAACAATAACAAACTGTAGGTACCTTCCAAATTAAAAAAAATAAATCAATGATAGTACATAAATTAACTCAAAGCATAAGGACCATTCGTATAATTTACTCTAACTTTTTTATTAAAACGTAGGGCCCTAAAACGCAAACATAAATAGCCAAACCGCGGTAACCAGAAAGTAGACCCGAACCACAATTGTACGGATCGGGCCCTAAATAAATATATATAGAGCTAGACGGTTATCTGAAACAAGTCATAATCATGTCCGAATAAGCGATACCTTGCCACCGCCATTGAAGAGAAAGAACTTCCGAGGTAACGAACCGCTGTTCTTATGGATTACGTATTGTATAATTGAGTCATTATTGATTATTCATATATGTATTTTATTTTTCATTTATCAGTAGATTCGAAGCGCAATCGTTTACGTGTTGATTTAGCTTCAAAAGCCAATCGATTATCTAGACGCCGTTTTTGACTATTAGATTTATCATCTTGTGCTTTTCCGTTTTCGTTTGAATAGTTCTCCCTTCAATCGAGTTCACTCCAAAATCCATGAAGTTTGAGGATATCAATTGACTTTGACTGAAACCTATGGAATGATTTGGGTTACAATTGATTTCAGTCGTACTTTTGTATTTAATATATTTTCATATCTGTAAAGAAAAAGCAACCGGTCAGAATTTGATTGGATTTGTTCTTGATGCAACTCTTACTTGTGATGTTGATGAATGTTGTTCCTTCTCTAAAATAAATGATATCTATGAGTTTCCTTTGTCATATTTCGAAGTTTGGAATTGTTCTTGATGCAACTTTTGCTAGTGATTTTGATGAATTCTGTTCCTAATTTCTGAAATAAATGATATTTATGCTTTTTGGTTGTGATATCTTTACGAATCGAGATAAACCGATAATATGTTAGATGGTAGCTAGTATATCTATGGTGCAATGTGATAAGATCGCCTATTAAACTGTTGTTATTTGATTAATCAAAATGGATTATAAACCAAAAAGGAGAATTTTGACAAAAGTATGTTGGAATGGGAATGTATGAAGCAAATGATGTTTATAAGTTAAAATTAAACTTGTATCTTGTGATGAACAGAACTTGATTTATCTAATCTTGGGTGAAGAAGGTAAACATCTAATGAAAACATCTGTTGTCAAATCATTAGTTATTTATGTAAGTGCTTTACTTTGTGTCACTTTGGTTATTTAAACAATCTATGCAGTTTCTAGGTTGACAAAGGATGTGATATGAAGGGGGAGATAATTCGCTTTGCCCAATCTAATAAGAAATTAGAGCTGAGAATTAGTGCCACCCAAAATTTTCCCAAAAGCCGTTTGCTTGGTTCATTTGCAAAGAAATCTTCAAAGAAGACACTTAAATGTGTGACTTCAATGAAAGTCAGCCTGGTGGCTAGTGGTGGTGTTGGTGACATTGGAGTCTTTCTTTTGACAAGTGCAGTTCTAGAAATAGCCAGAAGGTTCTCTGTAGCTCACTGTCCTTTTATCTGGCATGGGCTTCAGGCAGCTCAGATTCTCTGTTGTCCACCATTTAAATGGATCCAGAGATGGGCTCCTTTTACTGCTTTGGTTAAAGGAATGCAGGTTCATTATACAATCATACACATCCATCTCTTTATTTATTTATTTGTGTGTTTAAATTCTTCACAAATCACAATATCAAATACTTTTCTCTTTTTTGTCAGAGTTTGTCAAGACCATTGTTGTTCCTGTCAGTGGCAACAGGTTTGTTAGGTGAATCAGGCACCTCCAACTCAAAAGGAACACTCAGTGGTTCAGGTGCTGATCTCACAGAGCTATCTGCACAATTGGCCACACAAGACACAAGGTGTGTAATTCTTTCTTGCTTTTCATAGATTATATTTATAATTGGT